GGTGGAGAGGCCTTGTCTCAAAAACTGAGGAGGAGAGCCATGGTGGAAGGTATCAAACTGTCTCAGAATTACTATTGCTGTGCTGAAACACCTTGTCCAAAAGCAACTTGGGGAGGAAAGGGTTTATTTCACTCCTGGTTCCATATATAGTTCATCATCAAAAGCAGCGAGGGCAGGAACTTAAGCAGGGCAGGAACCTGGAGGCAGGAGCTTGTAGACAAAAGTTTCTGTCCCACCCAGTCCCGCAGCCATTCAGCCCCCAATTGCAGGGCTTTTGTGATTGGACCATCACATCTGCTGAGCGAGCGTTCTCCTTCTGATACATGCCCACAGTCAAGTATCAGCGGCTGTTTTGAAACTGGTTGTTTTATTTTTCATGTGTGTTTGCACACATGTCTGTGCATGTATAGGACCTGATACCAGAAGGTGTAGGCTAACTCTGAAGCTCCTTCCAGGCAGTCGTGAGCTACTTCATATGGATGCTGGGGACTAAGCTGTAGTCTGGAGAAGTAGAGCTGCTCTTAACCGGTGAGACGTGTCTCCAGCCCCTGTACCAACAATCCCCTTGACTTAGTGTCTTCTCCTTCTGGTAGACTACCCAGCAGTTAGCTTTGCTCTTGAAGCTACATTTCTCATTGTGTATTACTCAAAAGAAAAAAAAAATTACCTACTACATAGAGGGAAGGAGACATCTGTGTCTCCCTACCATGCTATTCTTGTTCCCAGGGGATGCACTGACAAGCAATTAATTATTCATAATTCTTCATATTCTAAATTGGATAGAACATTGGTATGTATTAACTAGGATACAAAATTAAGAAATGCCTCAAATTAACGTCAGTATTTGGTAAACTTTTAGAAGATTATTGGGGGAACACTAGAAAAATTGGATGAAGGTTTCTTGGGAAAGGGGTTTACAGGACCAGTTTCGGGGCAGTGGTTACGTTTTAGTCAGAAAACAGGTGCCCGTGACCTATTTCTGTGGCTGATATAAAGACCTGGGCTGTAGAAAACAATCTTATGCTTCTTGAGGACAGTAAAATCAAATTATGCTGCACTTGAACGTTAGTGTTTTCACATCAGTTCTTCCTTTGTTGACAGAACACCTGGGATATTGAAATAAGTCCAAATTGATGTGCTATTACATTTAATGAAAACGACGAGCTTCTTTTCCTAGTGGCGAAGCTAAATTTCTTCACCTCGTGGCAAAGCATCCATTTGCCCCCTTAATACCACTCAACACTAAGATTTATTATCAAATTTCACATCTGGAAATGTTTTAGAAGACGCGCTGAAGATTCATATGGCTTAGCTATTACAGGCATGCCAACTTATTTACTGAAAGGACCAGTAGTGAAAACCGATTTTATGACGGAATGTACATGGTCGCTTGCATTAAGGTGCTTGGTAACACTCGGTAGGACTGTAAGTAGGAATAACATTCTCAGAAACATTTTAAATTATATTATAATGCTGAACATTTTTGTTCCCTACTATCCAGCTATTTCACTCCCAGATATAGCCTGGATAGACTTTTACACATGCGCACCATGAGGTAATACACATAGAAATTCAGGAGATCATTCACCCAAACAAAACCCCAAAACTTAGCCACCTGTTACTTCTGTAAGGAGGAGGAGTGTATTAGTGACGGGAGGTGATACATCAGCAAATGGATGGAATTTCAGCTATCCGTGACAACACGCGAGGATCCGGAAATACGGCGTGGGCGAAAAGGCAAGTGTTAGAAAACCACGGACAGCAAGACAGCATTTCGGAAAGGCCAAAATCTCGTGAACGAGGACAAAAGCTAATTGATTTTCTTTTTTACAAACGGTCACGTCTTTCTTGATGGTGAGAGTGTACAGAGCCCCGAGTGGGCAGGCATTGCACCACAGTGTATAATTGGAAAGGCTTACATATAGAGACATATACTGCAGAATGTCAGAAAAAGTGTCCAACATAGTCCTCTTCAACACAAACATATATTTGGATAGAAATGATAAAAAAAAATGAGAGCATGATTCAAAGTGATAATTGACAAGTTTAAAATGTGCAGAGAATTTCTACATGATTTGAAATTTTCTCCACTGGTTTTCTTTTAAAACATTCTTAGGTTTATTTACTTTTATGTGTCTGAGTGTTTTGGCTGCACATATGTCTGGGTGCTGTGTGCGTGCCTGGTGCTCTGGAGGTCTGAAGAGGGCGCCAAATTCCCTCGAACTGGAGTTTTGAATGGTTTAAGCCACCGTGTGGGTGCTGGGAACTGAACCTGGTCCTCACCAAGAGCAACAAGTGTTCTTAATCACCGAGCCATCTCTCCAACCTCTATGTCAGAGGTTTTTTTTTTTTTTATCACTTTCATTACCTACAGACTGAGAAGGTAAACCACATTAAATATTTTTAACTTTGTATAAGGTAGCAAAACCAAAAACTGATGAGGACATAATGAAACATCATACTAGAGAGTGCGTTTACTGGTCATATTTTTTTGAGATGGGGTCTCACACTAAATGTAGAGCTTACGCATTGGACTGGCCAACAAGTCCTGAGATACACCTGTCTCCACTTCCCCAACAATGGGACCACAGGTGCATGTCCAACTTTTGACACAGTCTTGGGATCTGTGGTAATGTGAATGAAAATGGTCCTCATAGGTTCACAGGGAGTGGCACTATTGGGAGGTGTGGCCCTGTTGGATAAAGTGTGTCACTGGGGAGTGGACTTCGGGGTTTCAGAAGTCCAAGCCAGGCTCAGTATCACTCTCACTTCCTGCTGCCTGTGGATCCTGGTGCAGAACTCTCAGCTCCCTCTCTATCATGTTGGCCTGGGTGCTGCCAGGCTTCCTGCTGTGATAACAATGGACCTCAGAACTGGAAGACAGCCTTAATTAAGTGGTTTCCTCTATAAGAGTTTCTGTGGTCATGGTGTCCCTTCTCAGTAACAGACACTCTAAGCAAGACAGGATCTGAACTCAGTGGGCATGAGCAGCAGGCATGTCACCAACAGAGCCATCTCTCCAGTCTTTACCTAGTAACTGTCACTCTTCTATCTCAAGAAAACGTAGGACTGCCATTAGCTCAGTGTTCATTACTGAGTTCCTTGTACGTATAAAGTACTTGTACAGTGTGCCTTTTATACTACCTCTTTCTTTCCTGTGAAATTCAGAAAAAAAAATTCACTTAAGCAACAGGGTTTTTAGGTGTTTACTGTGTAGGTGAAGGACAACTTATTTGTAGTTGTGTCGGATACTAACAGAGCTCTGCTCGTCCCAAATGTGTGGCATACGAATCCACATAGTTTTTGTTGCTGTTGAGATTTCTGTAACAAAGATAAACTGAAATGTCATCAGATAAGAATTATACCAACCATCTCGGTATCACTGGCAATTAATGGACGCATGATGAGAATTGGGTTCAATTTCTTATTTGCTGTACTGTGACATTTAACACCTTTGGGCCTTAACTTCCTTATATCCTAGACACAGATAACAGCTCTCTACCTTCATTAGAACATTGCTGTGTATGGAAACATCTACTACATCTAAAAACCTTTGCAGCCAGGCGTGGTGGAACTCACCTTTTGTCCCAGCTTATACTGAAGACCACATTCTAGTTTCCAAAAATATACTCGTAACAGTTCATATTTGTTTATGTTTCTATTGTTGGGATCATATATGTGCCACTTAAATTGATATTCTTTTTTTTCTGGTCGTGAGGGAAGTCTAGGTTTTTGTTAAACTTTGGAAATTATGGAAAATAGACAAAAATCTGAAGGAGAAAATGAGAATTGTTATAGTTACTTAGTTACTGTGAACATTTTGTTTTATTTCTTTCCAGTGTACACACACACACACACACACACACACACGGTTTTTCTAGACAAAGTTTTTTTTGTGTAACAGTTTGGCTGTCCTGGAACTAGCTTTGTAGACCAGGCTGGCCTTGAACTCACAAAGATCCACTTTGCCTCCCAAGTGCAGGTATTAAAAGATTTGCTCCACCACTGCCCAACTTATATTTAAAGCTTAAAACGTAATTGGGCTCAAAAGAAAACAGAAGAGTTTGGGGGACACATTGGCTGGGAGGGTATCTGGAAGCCTGAACGCCAGTCCAGTGGATCAGCACCGTTCTTCGTGGACAGGGGTAGAGAGAGTGGAAATTTTCCTTTAAAGGTCACTTGTTCGTTTTTTTTTTTTTCCAGGCGACCAGCCCTTGACCACATTTCAAGTTATCCTGCCGAGGTCCACCCTTGTTTATACTCTTGTCCTCAACTTCTGCGAGGACTGAGGAGGTAGCTGTCACTTTGGAGCCTCCAGAAGACTGCCAACCTGAACCGCAGGGAGAGTCACTCGCGGAGGACACTCCGTGGCGACCAGGACAGTCCCAATCTTTAGAGGCCAGCCTTTCCTGGATCTCCCGAGGTTGCCATACAAACCCGATCTCCGGCTCTGAGGTCCCCGATTTTGGTATCCGAGGGGCAAAACTGCTGGGGCCCCGGACCGCGTCCCGCCGCTCGGGAGATCCAGGCGGGCCTCGTTGGCGACAGCCTCTTGTGGCCAAACTAATCACCCAGTTTCGATTCGCGAGCCGGGGGAAATGTGTCCCATCTTGCTAGCCTTAGGAAGGGGTAGGCGTGGACGGCACCACTGTGCAGCGTGCCGCAGGGGGAACCGTTCACGTGCAGCTCCCGGCTCCTCAGCTAGCAGCCGCGTCGCCCGAGAAACCAGCGTTCAGTGCAGTCTCTTCCCTATCACAGCGTCCCCGGGAGCCGGCCCCCAAAGCAGAACCGACGACCAGCTGGAGCTGGGCGGCTGGACGCGCGCCCACCCCCCCGCGGTTCGCCTCGACCTGCCTGCTGCCCACGCGCGTCCGCCACAGCGAGCTCCTCAGGGCCCCCAGTCGGGTGAGAGCGCGACGCGGTCTAGAAGCTCCACTCCAGGGGCGGGGCGGGGCCAACGCGTGCGGGGCGGGGCGAGCGGAGCCGGGCGCTGCCGAGCAGAGCCGAGCCGAGCCGAGCCGCGAGGTGCCGGGGAGAGGCAGGCAGAGCCTGCCGGTGGCTCCGCACCCATCGTGCTGCGTTTCCCGGCTCGCTGTCTCCCTGCCTTTGCCCAGGCGCCCGCAAAACTTTTATTGTCTCGGGCTCCCCCGGGGTGTGTGACGAAATCGCAGCGCTCCGCTGTCGCCACGCTCGCCGGCACCGGCGATCGAGGGGACGTGCAACGCTCGCCCGCCGCCGGGCTCTTGCGCCCTGCGCTTCCTCACCTGCCGATTGCTCCCGGGAATCGCGAGGGGGTACCCCCAAAAGGACCGCGCGGGCGTCGGCTCCCCGAAATCCTGTTCACCGTTGCGGACCGGCTCGGCGCAACTTTAACTTGATTGCTGTCGCCCACCCAGGGCACCCGCGGCGGCCGCCGCCGCCGCCGTCGCTGCGGTCTCACAAAGAGCGCGGGGAAGGAAGGCGGCGCGGGCGGCGGGCACGGGCCTCGGGGCTGCCTAGACAAAAGGGAAACTGCCATCGCTCTGGGCGCCTGTTCTGACCCGTCGTGGGTTCATCCTCCCGGCCCGGGCTGCTTCTTCGCCTCAGTCCCTGCGGGCTGTGCCCGCAGAGCTCGGACCCCGCGAGCTGCGGGGCGCGCGTCGCTGCTGCTGGTTGGGGCTCTAGGGATAATAAATGATAGAGGATACAATGACTTTGCTGTCTCTGCTGGGTCGCATCATGCGTTACTTCTTGCTGAGACCCGAGACGCTTTTTCTGCTGTGCATCAGCTTGGCTCTGTGGAGTTACTTCTTCCACACCGACGAAGTGAAGACCATCGTCAAGTCCAGCCGGGACGCGGTGAAGATGGTGAAGGGCAAGGTGGCCGAGATTATGCAGAACGATCGCCTTGGAGGACTTGATGTGCTAGAGGCCGAGTTTTCCAAGACCTGGGAGTTCAAGAGCCATAATGTGGCGGTGTACTCCATCCAGGGCCGGAGAGACCATATGGAAGATCGCTTCGAAGTTCTCACCGATTTGGCCAACAAGACGCACCCGTCCATCTTCGGGATCTTCGATGGGCACGGCGGCGAGGTAGGAGTTCTCTGGGTCCGTGAGCGTGTAAATAACCGGGCGTCGCGTGCGTGGCGGGGTCGGATCTGGGTGAGAGGGGCGTGGTGATGACCTGGGATGACAGATGTCATTTAAATTGCCAAGACCCCTCCAAAGAGATCTTGGGGACCGAGCGTTCAGTGTAGCCGAGACATACACTGGATATTTCGTGCGGCTTTAACACAAACTTACCAAGGTCAGATGCCAGTAAATAACTGCTAGTTTTCCGGGGAGAACTAATAGTATATCCAGTGAACTTTGTTTGTCCTCTGGCCTCATTGTCCTAATTCTAGGGTTTGAGGCGAATTAGCTGCCAAGGAAGACGGTGGTGCCTTCAGTGCACCCCTAAAGGGAAGAAGCCTGCATCTGCTGGATAGACTCAGTGAAGGTGAAGGAAACCGACTTCTCTCATTTCCTTCGCTCTAGGGAAGGACCCCCAGCGGCAACGCTGCGCTTCTTCCCAAGTCTGTCAACTTTGCTGGTGCAATGGGACAGGGATCAGAGATGCCTCCCCGGTGGTGGGTTTTGACTGCCTGGCTTTTGGAGAGGTGGCTGTGCGCAGAGCAGGCAGTGGCCACACTTGACCTCTGTGCAGTGACCAGCTTGGGGAGACCGATGTCTCTTTTCTTCTATAGCCCTTTGCTAGGGGTTTAATCTGGGAGCAGGAAATGGGCTAAAGCCTGCTTTAGGTCTTTCTCGCAAATTTCTGACACTGGGGAGTGTGGAATCTCAGGTTTCCTGGAGGTCCTGCCCTTGGGCCTGTGCCCAGACGCCGTGAGTGTTAAAATGTGGCTGCAAAGCTCAGCGCCGTTGTCCTGACATCTATCTCGGTTGGACACTTGTAACTGTTTGGATTGCATCACACTCCCCCACCTCCTTCTTGGCAGCATTCCTTATCACCTACTCCTTCTCTGCCTCTTCTTCTCCACCACACTCTTACCCATCTTCCTCCTCTGGGAACTCTAAGGCTTGTTCTTCTTCTTCTTCTTCTTTGGTGTTTGCTTGTTCTTTGGTCCAGCAGTGTTTTGTTTTTGTTTGTTTTGGTAAACACCGAGGAAGCTTTTGATTGGTTATCTTCATTCTTCACTCATCATTTGCGTATCTTGCCCAGGTATGGTGCCTACCTGCCAACTTTGCCGAGAATGCCAAACAGTTGCAAAGCTTAGGTGATAAGACTGGAATTAGACTTTAAGCATTTTTTTTTTCCATCCCCTCTGCCTGTTTGTAATGGGTCCTTCAGAATGAAAGTTTCTCATTCATTATCCTTCTGAAGTCTTCGGGTGGTTTGGAGTGCTCCTCCCCTTGACCACAGAGCAGTTGAAAGACGGGATGCTAATTGAGATAGGAGACGCTGCACACTGTGCAAAAAGATACCTGAGTCCCAAGGGTGACAGTGTAATGACTGAGTCATAATGCCATTTTATGTGCCTGAAATCAGTGGGGGTGAAGGAAACTATGTGATTTTTCTCCCCTGTCAATAATTTAATAAACGTGTTTATTTTCTATCTATAGTAAGACAGTTGTTGGTAATCTGACTCTGGGTTTGGAAAGCACAGCTCTAGAAGTTTTGGTGGAATATCCGAGCTGTAGAACACTGGCCTGTGCTTGTCTAGATAGGACATATTGGCATGGTTTGGGCTCACGCTTGTGATTGGATTGTTAGAATCTTTTCACTGGAGTCTTTGAAGACCTGGGAGCTGCAGAGCCGGAAGTTTCAGTTGAGAACTTTCTAGCAGTGCCTGGGGTAGATACACCACCCAAAAAAGGGTGTGCTGGAGGCTTCCCTTAACTCATCATTCTACATGTACGCAGCTTTCATTGCATTTTAAGAAAGTTTTAACTGAGAATATGACCACTATTAGCCAAACTGTGAAATGTTTCTTATTGCTCCTTCTGTTAAAATGCTTGCTGTTTGTAAAATAGCTAACGACACCAGTCCTCACGGAAACAGAGCAATTGTTTTAGCCCCTGTTATCACATGCAGTCAGGTCTCTTTGACTTTGTTTTATCTTAAAAAGGTAAACTAGGAAGTGCTATAAATACATTATTAGGTGGCTATTAGGATTGGGATAATACCAGATACTACTGAGTGACTTCTCTCTTGTCTTTTTCATTCTCTTGCTCTTCATTTGAAAAAGATCCCACCATCTAGGTCTTGTTGTTTGTGTTCTTGGCTCCTTTAACATTCACCAGAGGAGGGTGCCACTGTTTGACTTTTTGGATGTTTGTTACATCCTTTCAGAAAAGGAGCCTTTCCTGAACGATGAGTTGTATATATACACATGCACACAAGCACACACAACACACACAGCACAGAGGGTAAATAAGTTAAACTTTTTTTGTGATAATTCATACTGATAAGACAAGCCATTAAAGTACTGTTGAGATTCAGAAGAGACATATTCATGTCCTTGTGTATCTCATCCATATATGTTGATTTCATCCTGTTTTTTAGATGAGGTGCTGATGGCCAGAGACACTGTGACCTTCTTAAGGCTCTATGGCTAGTTTGAGACTTTTGGTTTGTTGGTCTTTTTACTGGACAGATAAAACAAAAATTGCATGTTTATCTGTAGAACTCTCGGGATGACTGACCACCTCTTCTGTTCCCCAGGAATTTCAGACTAATAAGAGAGATAGACTCCTAGACTAAAAGTAAAAGTATGGTGTTCTGGGGACACAAGAGCAATCTTTTAAACCACCCCTCCTTTAACTTCCCGATGCTGAGTGTATAGGCCTGAGCCACCATGCCCTGTGTGCTTTGACTTAGAATCTCTGTGACTTAGTAGCTGCCGTAACCTTGGGCCAATTGCTTCAGCAGCTTTTTCTAGGAGTGTTTTATCCAAAAAGAAATGGGGGACAGTAATACATGTAAGGTGAATCCTCTTCAGCTGTAGTGTGTCTTAGCTGGACGTACTCAATGGAGAGAAGAGCTGGAAGTCTGCCATGGTGAGGCAGTGGCAACCAAGGGAGAGATGGTTTGCCTGTGCGAGTGATAGCTTTCGTTGGGCACCCATAACCAATTTAGTAGGCGTTCCTCACATTCTCTGTGCCCTCTTTCTAATATTTGGTAAACTTCTGATTATTATTTAAGGATTCTACAAACATTGAGAAAGTAGCACTCTGGAATCAGGTTGATGTTTTCTGATTACTGGAAAGGAATATTCCCTTGGATCAATTAATAAATTGGGAGTCTGATTAGTACTTCAACCTCCTATGAGTTGAGTTTCAGCAAGGTTTTTGTTGTTGTTGTTTTCTTGCACAAATGCATCTCCGCCCTTGTGTTGAAAACTAGACTGGATGGCTAGGACTTCATTTGGATGTTCAAAGTCTAAAAGAGCTTCATCTCTATGATCCAAGGGACCAGGCTCTTAGTTTTATTCTCTTGGACCCTTGAAACATTCTATCCACCACAGTATGGACAGATGGTTGACTGCTTGTGAATGTATCTGCAGCTATGGCGGTGATTTTCTTGTGTAACATACTATCAAAACAACCAAAGGTTACAAGGGAAGCTCAGATTGTGTCAGTAGAGAGAGAAAGGTGCTAGTTTTATACTTCAAAAACATCATCTAGGGACTGAGCATGGTGGCCCAAACCTTTAGTGCCAACCATGTGGGAGGCAGAAGCAGGTGAATTTCTGTGAGTTCAAGGCCAATGTGGTCTACACAGTGAGTTGCTAAGTAGTGAGACCCTGTCTCAAAACAAACAAACAAACAAACAAACAAACAGAAAACCAAACCAACCGAACAAATAAAAATCAAAATATATCATCTAGGAAAATTATTGGTAGTGCGTTTACCTATAATTTTACCTGCAGGCAAAAGGCATCTTGTCTTTTTGTTGTTGTTGTTGTTTTTAAAGTACTGTATAGAAGAAAACCCACCAATCCTTTGCAATTTTAGCCAAAATCTATCTAGGTGATTGGATTGTTTTCTGCATTCCTGTATTAAAGGTCACATATATCTTGACACATCACTTGAGAACGTTCGAATTTCTATCAGACAAGAGCGTACCTCAAGTGTTCCAGTCTTGAGGCTCAGCTGAGAAACGATGTAGGCTCGCCTGCAGGATCCAGGGTCAGATAAGAGACCGTGTAGGCTCGCCTGCAGGATCCAGGGTCAGATAAGAGACCGTGTAGGCTTGTCTGCAGGATCCAGGCTCAGATGAGAAATCATACAGGCTTGTCTGTAGGATTCAGGTTCAGATGAGAGACCATATAGGCTCCCCTGCAGGATCCAGGCTCAGCTGAGCATCCATGGAGGTTCACCTGCAGGATCCAGGCTCAGATAAAAGGCCGTGTAGGCTTGTCTGTGGGATCCAGGCTCAGATGAGAGTCCATATAGGCTTGACTGCAGGATCCAGGCTCAGCTGAGAAACCATGTAGGCTCCCCTGCAGGATTCAGGCTCAGAAAAAAGACCTTATAGGCTTGTCCGCAGGATCCAGGCTCAGATAAGAGACCGTGTAGACTTGTCTGCAGGATCCAGGCTCAGATAAGAGACCATGTAGGCTCGCCTGCAGGATTCAGGATCAGATGAGAGAGCATGTAGGCTTGTGTGCAAGATTAAGGCTCAGCTGAGAAACGACATAGGCTTGCCTGCAGGATCCAGGCACCCAGGTCTTAATTTTCATCAGTAATACTTGTTTTGAGTCAGCCTTTCCTCTGAGAATGTCACAAAACTGTAGACATATCGCAGACATCGACATAAAACTTTGTTTATTTTCAAAGTCAAGTGGTGTATCCAGCCTCTGTATTTCAGGGTTTTTAGTCAGAATGGAGTCTAGACCCACAAGGAGCTTTGTACCTGGGTCTCTTTTTGGAACAGCTGCTAGTATTTTCCAGCATGTGCACTCCTTCTCCAGTGTGTGCACTCCTCCAGTGTGTGCACTTCTTCTCCAGCGTGTGCACTTCTTCTCCAGTGTGTGCACTTCTCCAGCGTGTGCACTCCTTCTCCAGCGTGTGCACTCCTTCTCCAGCGTG